AGAACACCAATACCAGCATGGGACGTCACATTCTGTCTTCGGCTACGCAGTAAAGGACCTGCCAGCACCCTCCTCCAGGTAGGCCACTGCTCGCTAATCTCCCATGGGTGTGAAGCACAGAGACCACGTCGAAGATAAACAGGTTGCTTACCTGTAACTGGTGTTCTTCGAGTGGTCATCTGTGCATTCACACCACCCGCCCTCCTTCCCCGCTGCTGTCAGCTTCTACATTTTAATAGGGGTTGATTTGCGGCGGTTTGAAGAAACTGGCGGGATGTCCGCGCCCACCCCTCTGGGCATGCACGGTGGAGTTCCTGCGCATGCCCAAGGGACTGGGCGCGAAAATCCATTAAAAGAGCTTGCTACAGCACCGATCGATCCAGTGCGTGCGCACTAGATCCCATGGGTGTGAATGCACAGATGACCACTCAAAGATCACCAGTTACAGGTAAGCAACCTGTTTTTCTACTGCAAAGGTAGAAAGAAGGTAGATGGTGGGGCCACTGGCCAGTGCTCAATAGACATTCTGGCGCTCTGTCTTTATGAAGAGCTCTGGAAACCTTTGTGCTCTTAAGCAAATCTATGGATCTCTTTTTTTGTGTGTGAAACCCTGGTTAGTTATGCCTAAACCATTGAAAAGCTCGTGCATATGCTTGTTGCTTTGTGAATTTTTAACTTACTGGAAGAGCCCGGGGAGTCTAGTGTTTTTTTTTTTAAGGCTATGTAACTTGGAAGTTTACTTCTCTGCACTCAGTAGTGATTGCCGCTGCTGTGTTGGTGAAGAGGCTTGAAACAGATATCCTAGTAACATCATTTCAGGAGCCTAGTCCGCAATAGAAGAGTGAGATTCAATTCCAAAAGCACTTTAGAGACCAACAAGACTTTCGAGATATAACATTTCAAGAGCCGAAGCTCACTTTGCATCTGACGAAGGGAGCTTTGGCTCTCAAAAGCTTACACCCTGAAAATCTCGTTGGTCTCCAGGATGCTACTGGGCTTGACTCTGAGTAATATGTCCCTCAAATAAAGCTACCTCTGCTGTTACGCTCCTGGACAGGTACCTAAATTCTGGTTAACTGCCGGCAGTGTTCCCTCTAAGCTGAGCTAGCTCGCCGATTTTTAGCCTCCAGCTCACACATTTTTGTCTTAGCTCAGGAAGGATGGCTCCAGAGCAAACTAATTTATGCGGTAGCCAAATCAGAATAAATCAGAATAATTGTGCTCAGAACTTTAATGCCGGTAGCTCACATAAATCAGAATAAGTGTGCTCATTTTTGCTCACAAGACTCCACAGCTTAGAGGGAGCATTGACTGCTGGTGCTTGATATGACTTGATTTCCCGCACCCTTCTTTCCCTTACTCACTTGACCCTTGCCGTCTTTCCCACAGTGATCGTCCGTGCAGCCGACTGCAAGAAAGTTTACCAGATAGAGCTTGCTCCGAAGGAGAAGATTATTATCCTTATCTGCGGCCGGAACCACCACGTCCACTTTTTCCCCTGGTCCTCCCTGGATGGATCCGAAGGCAGCTTTGACGTCAAGCTCCCGGAAACGAAAGGCTGCCAGTTCATCACCACGGGGACGCTGAAGAAGAGTTCATCCACCAGTCTGTTTGTGGCAGCCAAGCGGCAGGTCCTCTGCTACGAGATTCACAGGACTAAACCTTTCCACAAAAAGTTTGGCGAAATCCAGGCTCCCGGGAACATACAGTGGATGGCGCTGTTCAAGGACAGGCTCTGTGTGGGCTACCAGTCTGGTTTCTCTCTGCTGAGTGTCCAGGGGGAAGGACAATCTGTAAACCTGGTAAATCCCAGTGACCCTTCGCTTGCATTCCTCTCGCAGCAGTCCTTTGACGCCCTTTGTGCTGTAGAGCTCAGCAGCGAGGAGTACCTGCTTTGCTTCAGCCATTTGGGAGTGTACGTCGATGCACAAGGTCGAAGGTCACGCATGCAGGAGCTCATGTGGCCTGCAACTCCTACTGCCTGTAGTATGTATATTTTTTTCCTTTCCTTCTTTTTTTTTTGGGGGGGGGTATTTTGTGTGTGCGCGCATGTGGGTCTGTGTATGTGCTTGCGTGCCCGGAAGCCGTGGCAACTTCTGGCGACCCCTACTGGGGGCTTGGAGATTTTTCAGAGAGGTGGCTTGATAGCCTGCCTCTGCATCCCAAGCCCTGGTGTTCCTTGGAGGGTCTCCCTTCCAGTTACTTGCCAGGGTCGGCCCTGCTTAGCTCCCGAGATCTGACGAGATCGGGCTTGCCTGTCAGACTCCTGGGAAGGTTACTCTCAACCACACTGTCTTTGGCAGTGAAAGGCTTTATTGAGATATAAACAAGTTCCAGGCATGAACAGTACTGTGTCAGTTCTAAAGGATTTTGGTGAATGCATACATAGATACAGGCAATTCAGATGTAACCCCTCCTGTGAACCATTCATACGTCACATCATCCAGCCAGGCTTCAGCATCTCTACCCTCCTTCTCATGGGAATATACGATCCCATTATCTGCTACACAAGCTGGCACTAGGAGCTTCAAAGTCGTCTCCCTGTGAACTAGGGAGAGGCACGTCTTCAGGAAAAGTTACGCTGTCTAAGATAGAGCATTCACACACACACACACACACCCCTTAGGAATTCCCTTTTCCCAGTGTCTATGGCAAGCTATGTGAAGCGAAGCAAAGTTTGACATTGCCTGAGCTATCCAGGTCAGGGCTTATGTATATATGTTTTTCTGTTGCTGACTAGTATGAAAATAATCAGCAAATAACTTTGTACGTGTGTGTCAGCAGTTAGAGGGTTGGATCCGAGCAGATATTCCCTTGGTGAAAAGGGGAGGGAATTTTCCTCTCACCATCAAAAAAAAGGCCATGCTGGGGATTATGCAACCTGCATGGGCAAAAACCCATGTGTCAGAGGAACTGGTGTAAAGGCAGGGGGGAGGTGGATGAGATGGAGCAAAAAAGCTGGCTGGATCCAACCCATAGTCTAAATGTTACTTGGACAAGGGAATTCATCACTTTAGGTGCGCTGCTAAATCTTGTATGACTTCCCCAGGTTTTGTTACCACACAGCGGTTGGCTTCATGCAGCAAACCTCCGTGCTTCACGCTGCAGACCTCCCAAACAAACTGTGGCTTGTTAATGTCGAGAACGAGTCCGTGTTATTCCCAGGCTCTTGCTCCCTTCCGCCATCACTCAGTGCTTTAGGAAGTTGCAGTTTCTTTACTCAAATGTTAGTTTCTGGGCAGAATGGAACGTCTGGTTGGCTGAAGCACCGGAATGCAGAAGTCCCAAGGCAAATCGTGTCTACTTCCCTACTTTTACAATCCCTGCTAGCCATGATAGCTAAATTTGTTCATATAGATAAAAGCAGGGGTCATTTATTTAGATTACTGTATCTTTATTTATATGCCCATAAAAGGCTTTGGATTTGATTTGCAGGGGTCATTTCGTAGAAAAAGAGGTGCAGGAGCTCATTAGCATAACTCATTAGGATAACTTATTTGCATATGCCACACACCCTGACATCACCGGAAGTGTGTCAGAAGGCAACACCCACTGCAACTTACCTGGCTGCTTCTTGCTCCTCATGGCCCGGGGCTGCTGGGAGCAGGGGGCGGGGCTTGTTGCATGTGCCCGCCCCCTGCACTCTTTACTGCAGGAGCTCCGCTCCTGCGTGCTCCTGCAGGAAATGACCCCTGGGTGAAAGATACATTGTGGTGGTGGTGGTGGTGATGATTCATGCCCCCTTTCTTCTCCCCTGTGGGGGAACCGTCACAGCAACCCTATGTGGTATGTTAGTCTGAGAGAGAGTGAGTGACTGGCCCAGGGTCGCCCAGTGAGCTCCTAGGGCGGAATGGGGGGACAAGCCTTGCTGCCCCAGAGCCGAGTCCAACACAGTAGCCGTGGCACTGCTCTGGCCGCGCAGAAGCTCCATGTTCAGAGCCACGCCCCTTCAACACCCGAATGCTGAGGACAGAAGGGGAGGGCTGCTGCTTTCAGATCCATCACGATCAGAAACACCACACCTTTTAGTCTAATCCAGCAAGTTTTTAAAAGGGGAGTGGGGGGGCACACTGGGTTTTTGAAGCCTGCCCGAAGCACCATAAACAAAAGGGTTGCATATTTTTTAAAAAAATTCCTCAAAGTTTGTGCCACGAGGGATCCCAGCCTGTAGTGGGAGGAACCGGTTACCTTGGTTTACCGTCAGTCGCTTTGGAAAAGATTGTTTTGGAGAGGATTTCCCAGGGCCCTCGGCACATCACACTTCCCTTTGGAAAACCCCACTGCTTCTTGAGTTCGCATTCTTCCCTTTCCTTTCAGGGACCCCGTTAGCCACCTCCGGCACTTCCTTCCTTTCTCTTCCTTATTTACTCAGGCAGACTTGACACGGAATACAATTGACACAGAGAATGCAATAAAGAAAGGCCTGTCAGTGCTTCCAGATCCTTCGGTTCTTTCGTTCTGGTGATCCTTCAGTCTGGAAGTCAGTCAGGTTTACACCTCTCAAATGGCAGCCAGTTGAACATAAGAGCATATAAATCCAGAAGACTTTTATGTGGACAAGTGTGCCCAACTGTATGTCTTCTGAAAAAGAAATAAATATCTGTAGCATCACCTGTTGTCTTGGCCACTGGTGGTGGTGGAAGGCGCCACCAAGCTGCAGCCAACATACGGCAACCCCATAGGGTATTCAAGGCGAGAGACCAACAGAGGTGGTTTGCCATTACCTGCCTCTGCATAGCCACCCTGGACTTCCTTGGTGGTCTCCCATCCCAAGTACTAGCCAGGGTTGACCCTGCTTAGCTGCTGAGATCTAATGAGATTGGGTTAGCCTGTGCCCTCCAGGTCGGGGTCTTGATTACTAGCTGTAGCTTACGTTTTTCTCCCACTTAATGGACTAGATGCGGAATGGACATTCAAACTGGCATTGCCGTCCACATGACTCAGCCGGTTCCTTTACAGTCACCTTGGGGCTGTGTCTCAGAAGCAGAGCATCTCCTTTGCATACAGAAAGTCCCAGGTCCAATCCCTGGTCACTCCAGCTAAGAAACATCAGGTAGCAGGTGATGTGGAAGACCTCGGCTCAGGAACACGGAGAGCCGCTGCTAGAGCAGACAATACTGACCTTCGATTCAGGTGGGGCAGTCATGTTGGTCTGAAGCAACAGAACAAAGTTGGAGTCCGGGGGGGGCACCTTTAAGATCAATAAAGTTTCAGTCAAGGTATAAGCTTTCGTGTGCATGCCCACTTCTTCCCACTACAGTGAAATGGAAGTTACCAGTCCACACATAGAGGTAGAGAGTGAGAGCAGTAAATTAGCATACAGCATGATGACGGTGTTTAACAGATTCAAGGAGCAAACAGGAATAATAAGCTTAGTTTATAGGGTTGCCATTTATTTGGGGTTAATTCTGGGGGGAACCATAGTGAAGGAAATTAACTGAGCAATTATGTTTCCCTCCAGAACTGAGCATAATGGCAGGGTCTCAGTTAATTACTCTTAGTATTCCACGATTAAAGATACATCTGCCCGTCAGTCTCCAATGTTGACATATTTTATTGCTTTGGCTGTGTTTTTCCCTGGAATTAAACCCAAACAAATGGTTGCCGACAACTGCGGGACGCTTCCCAGATGTTGCTGTCTGATCGTGCCCTTTAGATCCGTCAGGCATTCGCACCTATGTCGGATCTAAAGGCGTGTGTGACCGCAGCCTAAATCTCTGCAGCTGAATTGTTTGCTTCATCATGGTCTGGAAGAGTTACGTTCAAAGATTAGCTTTCACAGTGGGTGAAGTTTTGTGTCTACAGTGTACCTCTTCAGGCTACTGGTCCAAATGAGGGCTCACATAATTTAAATCTCCACCACCAACTAGCCATCAGGAAGAAGGCTTACATAAAAACGTAAGAACGGTGGCCAACCAGTTCACCTGGAGGTCCAACAAAAGGGCATAGAGGCCGAGGCTTTTCCCCGATGTTGCCTCCTGGCGTTGCTATTCAAAGATGTACTGCCTCTGATCTTTGAGATTCCCTTTAGTCACCATGGCTAGTAGCATGTGGACGTCCCTATATCCTCAAGCAGCTAATGCCATTCTGTCTTGGTATGTTTTTGATACGCTTTAGAGGAATGCATATTGTATTCATAGTGGAGTATTCCATCAGGCACATTTCCACTTGCAGTCTGAAATGGAGCAAGCTCCAGATGAAGGCTTATCGGCTTCATCGAGATCTAGGCCTAGCCAGAGATGGCTTCAGCCCAACTGCACGTGCTTGAGGAACAATGGTGGAGGAAAAGAACTCTGGTGCTCTCCTTCTCTGACATCCACTTCTTCTGTCTGTCATCTCTCTAGGTTGCACTTCATTCTATTTAACGGTCTACAGCGAATATGGCGTGGATGTCTTTGACGTTAACTCTATGGAGTGGGTTCAGACTATTGGCTTAAGAAGGGTAGGTAGCTGGCCTCTTCTCGTACACTGAAACGCCTTCTCGGTTCGCTGAAGAATTCTCTGTGATAACGTCGAGGGGGGAATTGATGTTTCTCTGTCTTCGCCTTTGCGACAGATCAGACCGCTAAACGTGACGGGCACGCTGAACCTCCTGAGCTGCGAACCTGCTCGACTGATCTATTTCAAGAATAAGTTTTCAGGTTAGTGTTTTGGGAGAGGGGATGACGGCGAGACGAAGAGGAGTTCTTGAAATGGTAGTGGCATTTTAGTGTGTTGAAGTGCGGTGGGGAAAAGGGAGGTTGAAGGAGGACTGTATAAAACTAGAGATGCCAGCTTTAAGTGGCGGTCTGAGTGGCTAAAGCTTTGATTGGAGAGGACTGTTTTAATAGGTGGGGCTTCTAGTTAAAGGCATCGTTTTTGGGTGGGGGGGAATGGGAGTTTTTGCTTATCTCGAACTAAAACTTCAATAGAGGAGTGCTGACAGGTCACAGTGGACTCCTGGCGACCCATGGAGTTCCACCTCGTGGGGTTTTCAAGGCAAGGGATGAGCGGAGGTGGTTCGCCATGGCCTTCTTCTTCTTCTTCTTCATAGCAGCCCTGCTCTTCCTTGGTGATCACCCATCCAAGCACCCACCCTGCCTAGCTTCCGAGCTGTGATGAGATCAGGCTAGTCTAGGCTATTAGGGTTGCTGTGATACTTTAATAGACAGTGTGGGGTGGGGGAAAGGAAGAAAACATAAGAGGTGGTCGTTCCACCTACAAAGATTTCTGGTAGCTTGTGTCTGTCGAATTACATGCCACCTTCTTCCTCGCTTCATACATATATCCTTCAGCGTCTTAGAGTGGTGCTTTACACTGAGATACAACTGTGCAATTTCGTATAGAGTCAGTCCAGCAGATCACTAAAATCCACTGTAAGAATTGGGGGATGGGGGGGGAGCAAAGTGAGTGGAAATCGTAACAGGAGGTGAGAGGGGTGTGTGTGTGTAAATGTGTTGCCCGTTGTGAGATGCCCTCAGCCGTGCAGATTCCTGGGTGCTCTATTCACAATGAGCTTAAGTGAACCCACTGCCTGTTTCTAAAGCAGAAGCTCCATATTCATTCCAGCAGGGCTCACGCAGTCTTTCTGGGCCTATCACCTCCTCGCCTGTGTAACCTCTCGCCATGTCTTGTTGCACCAGGAACGGCCCTGAGCGTGCCAGAAACATCCGACAACAGCAAAAAGCAAATGCTCCGCACGCGGAGCAAAAGAAGATTCGTCTTTAAAGTACCAGAGGAAGAGAGGCTGCAACAAAGACGGTGAGGAGGCTCAGATCCCTCTCTGTCCCCCTCCGCCCCACTCATGGCGCCGGAGGATCTGTTTATACAACGCGGCCGCCTCTTGTCACTCCTTGTTTTCTAGAGAGATGCTCCGAGACCCCGAACTCAGATCCAAAATGATTTCGAACCCAACCAATTTCAACCACGTGGCTCACATGGGACCAGGAGACGGGATGCAAGTGCTCATGGACCTCCCACTGGTAAAGCCATGTGCCGTGCTGTGTTTTGTCCCTCGGGGGCTTGCTGATGTCACTGTACGTCCAGCCGCATCCCACAAATCTTCCGGGACCAGCTGGCAGAAGGGCTTCCCGAAGGGGCCACTGTAGTCTTTAATCGAGCCCAGCGTGAGACTGAGCAGGTCTGATCGGATGCCAGTTCTCTTCTCCCTGCTCCCTGTGGGCAGGAGTATCCCCAGGAGAGGGCCTTGGCCTCGCGTCTGGAATCCCTCGCTTGATCATGCCAAGCCTCCCCGCAGGGAGGGGAGCAGGAGAGGGGAAACGTCGCAAGCCGAAACTCCCGTTCGTTGCGTCCCAGCATGGGGTGACGTCCCACCAGATTCTGCCTTAGCTGTCCTGAGCGAAGAACACACGTGCCCCAGAGAGACTAAAAGTCGACAAGTGTCACCACCATGAGTGTAGTTGCGTTTTCCTAAATAACTCTAGAGAGCCGGTTTGGTGTAGTGGTTAAGTGCATGGGCTCTAATCTGGGAGAACCGGGTTTGATTCCCCACTCCCCCACATGCACCTGGCTGGATGGCCTTGGGCAAGCCGTAGTTCTGATAAGAGCTGTTCTTGAAAAAGAGCTGTTTCTGTCAGAGCTCTCTGGGTGTCTGTTGTGGGGAGGGAAAGGGGTTTGTAAACCGCTCTGAGACGCCTTTGGGTAGTGAAGGGCGGGGTATAAATCCAATCTCTCCTTCTAGACCCTTTCCTCCCCCCCCCCCTTGTTTGTCTTGTCTAAAATAGCAGGGTGAATTTCCTTCCCCTTCATCCTCCCAACACTCTGCTCTGATATCACCTCCAACAGGCTTTGAGCACGTCTACCAGATGAGTCCTATCTCTGCTCAAATCTTTCTCCAGAATGACCATTCTGCCTCCTCCTCCTCCTCCTCCTCTTCCTGTCCCTTCTCTGCTTCTGCAGCAAGGGTAGGAGCAGCCCTTTTAGGAACTGAAGTGGGCTGAATAGTATGTGTCATGCCTCTCTGCTGGCATTTCAGCAAGCGTTTTTGGGGGTAGGGGGACGAATAGTCTGCAGGGGATTACTGACCTCTGTGGGTGAGCTTCGGCTTGTGTGCCCTGAGCCCTGTGCTCAAGACTGCATGCTTTTGGCTGCTAAAACCACACCACGCCTTCCTCTAGTAACCTCTTGTCCTTGCTTGGGTTCATGCGTCTTTCCAACAGCTGGCAGCCAAGTTCCCTGCCATTTCCCCCCAGTGCAGTTTGTAGTAATATTGTCACTGTTTACTTACTGCGAATATGTCACAGCCAGAAAAGACTCTCTGCATTTGGGGGAACCACGAGGCATATTTCCGTGGCGAAATTCCACTGTGGATGTTATTTAAGATGATACACCAGTAAATCAGTGTACTGAAAACCAGCCAGATTCTTACCCAGTTTAAAGGGGGGGGTATGTTTGAGGCTTTGGCTGCTTATTAGCCTGTAGATGAAACTGTTGCATAAGAAAGGCAGTATCTGTGAGTCTTCTGTTCAGGCTGGCTCGCTTGTGGTGTCAAGTTACCCCGCTTCCAACAGATTGGGCAGACTGGTACAGGTGGGGACAGTGGATGACGATCCCCTGTTGATTTTTCTTTTTTGAAGGGAATACCTTTGTGTTACCTGAGCTTTTATCGGTTGAGCAAAGCAGGTTTTGTGTGAATACCCACTGCATAACAACGTTGTGAATGTAATATTCCTTTAAAGGTTGGGGGGGGCCCTCTATTGTAAAGTTTCACAGAAAAGAAACTTCTGTTCAAACCGTCTTGTCTGACTGACTGCCTCTCCCCTGCCGCCACAGAGCGTCCTCCCGTCTTCCCAAGATGAAAAGGCCTGTCCTCCCACGACCAACATTTCACGCCAGGCGCCACAGAGAAACAAAAGCTACATTTCTTGGCCTTCATCAAGTAAGGATGGAAGCTGGTCTATTTATAAGCTGTGGTTTTAGAGAGGGCTTCTCTCTCTCTCTGTCTCTCTCTCTGTCTCTCTCTCTGTCTCTCTCTCTATCTCCTTACACTGGAGATTTTTTAATGTCTTTGCCTTGCAGGTGGGGCCGATCTGGGAGCAGCCATGCCCTTGCGGAGCATGTCCGATCCGGACCAGGAGTTTGACAAAGAGGTGAGGTCTGATGATGCGCCCCCCCCCCTCCCAAATAATCTCAGGCTCTGACTTTTGTATGGGAAGACTTGTCTTCGTGTGTTAACAACCAATTGGTTGCCACACGTGCACCACTGCGTAAGCCAGGCGGCCCAGTTTGAGAATTCCTGGCCCTCTAGATCCAGAAATCTTTGTCCGAGAAGCCTCCAAGTCCCCATCACTGCTAAACTGTTTTATTAGGCATTGGCAGTAGCTAGTTTGACTAGGGGCCGCGGTGGCTCAGAGGTTAAAACACTGAATTGCAGACTGGAAAGTCAGTAGTTCGTGCGATTCTTTGCAGGTATTAAAAATAATAAAGTACAGATGGTGTGGATTTTTTAACCCAGCTGCCTTGCCAAGCTGATTATTCGGCCACCTCAGGTTTCGAAGCCACGACATTTGCCCGTTATTCCTCGGCCCCAGGTTAACCTCACAATGTGTATCCATGAGCCAAGACAACAGTGTTAGGTCGTGAACCCTCCAAAACTGAAACCAGGGTTGTGTCCCCCACTATGGGGGGGGGGGGGGTTTTCCTTCCATCTTGCACTGGGTTTTGGCAGTCAGTATTACAGAGTAGTGATGGAGCATCCTCCGGAGGGTCTGAGTTCCGCATGGGACCCTTCTGTGCTGCCCTCTGGGGTCCCCTTGTTTTATTAGGCATTGGCAGTAGCTAGTTTGACTAGGGGCCGCGGTGGCTCAGAGGCTAAAATACTGAATTGCAGACTGGAAGGTCTGTAGTTCGGCAGTTCAAGACCCGGGTGCCGCAAGACGGAGTGAGCTCCCGTCTCTGGCCCCAGCTCCTGCCAGCCTAGCAGTTCGAAAGCAAGAAATTGCAAGTAGATAAATAGGGACCACTTCGGTGGGAAGGTAACCGCGTTCCGTGCGCCTCGGCGTTTAGTCATGCCGGCCACATGACCACGGAGAAGTCTTTGGACAGCGCTGGCTCTTCGGCTTCGAAACGGAGATGAGCACCGCCCCCTAGAGTCGGATTCGACTGGCTTTCGAGCAAGGGGAACCTTTACCTTTTAGTAGCTAATTTAGAAGGATACTGAGCGCAGTCTGCGGCCTGGAGACAGTAATAATAGGAGTGAAGCTTTGTGGCTCTATAGATCTGAGCCCTCTTGAGCTTGGGAAAGGTGGGATAAAAATGCCCCTAGGCCTTTGGGGAGAAGGGGTTCACGGGAGATGAAGCTGCCTGGAGAACTTAGCCTGGGTGAAAGTGAGGATTGGCATCTGCCTATAGAACTCTTTCAAGTTCTGTAAAAAGAAAAAAGAGTATAATTCTTCCAAACTTCCTCCAGATTCATTGATCATTGTCAGGACGCCTAGCTCAGATCCAGGTTGGGAAACTCCTGGAGATTTGGGGGTGGAGCCTGGGGTGGGCAGGGACCTCAGTGGGGGTACAGTGCCATAGAGAGCCCACCATCCAAAGCATGCCTTTTCCCCAGGGGAACTGATCACTGTATTCCGGAGACAATACCGGGAGACACACACACACACCCGGTCCGTCCTGGAGGCTGGCTTCCCTAGTCGTCTCGCATCTGGTCTTGTGAAAAGGGTTCAGGATGCTGTGGGCTGTCACAAGGGAGCAAAATCTGTTCATTATTTTAAAATCGCTTCCGTTTGCATGGCAGATCGGAGTCCCTTAGGTCCACTGGAAACTTCAGCTGACAGAAAGGATTTCCGTCAGCAGAGCCAGGGCTATTTCACAGTCTCCCCCTCCCACTACAGCCCAAAATGCCCCCCAAAAAACAGAAGACCCCCTCCAAGAACAACGTAAGGGGAGGAATACTGGGGGGGGGGTATCAAAACCTACACCCCCTGCCCTGCAGAAATCCTCTGCTGGATCCAGCCCCGTTTGTACTGGAGAAGAGCAGTGTTCCCTCTAAGCTGAGTTAGTGTGAGCTAGCTCACAGTTTTTTAGCCTCCAGCTCACACATTTTTGTCTTAGCTCAGGAAGGGTGGCTCCAGAGCAAACTAATTTGTGCAGTAGCCAAATCGCTCGCTCGCAACTTTAATGCCAGTAGTTCGCAAAGTAGAATTTTTTCTCACAAGACTCCACAGCTTAGAGGGAACATTGGAGAAAAGCTGTTTGTGCACTGATTTCCTTTCTGCTGGGTGCAGCAGCCATATAACGCAGGAGAAGCAGCATCACTGTGGTCTACTCAAGGGCAGCCAAAATAAGAGGCTTTCCTTGCGGCTGCCCCCTTGCATGCCGGATTGGAGGTCACATTTGATGCCGACGTACGATTTACACGCTCGCATTTTGGTGTTAGCATCCGTGCAAAGGACGTACAGATTGTGAAACGCAAACCCGCTCGGATGTTCTTTCTCCATGGCCCGTTGCCTTATCGCATCTCTCCCAGCTTATCTTGTCTAAATAATTGCATTCTAGCCAAACTTGCTGTTTACAACTGGGCGAAATCTTGTGAACCGTATCTCTTGGCGATATCGCCTTTTAATCTGTTGGCTAAAAATAAATTCCGCCTCCCCCAATTAAATTGACTGCCACAGTAGCAGTTCTTCTGTGAAGCGGGTGCATTGTTAAAAGAGTTTTTTAACTGCATTCCAAAATAACTGGGAAATCGGCCAAGCAGCCAGCTAAGAAGAAAAGGAAAGAGCCCTGCCTGCACAAATCCAAACCACCACCAGGGTAACTAGAAAAATGCAACGGGGTTAATTGCCCGAAGGGGTTGTCCAGCAAAATACCTTATTTCCAAGCTACATTTTTTAGCCTTTCTGGCAGCGTTTTGACTCCTCTTGTGTGGCAGTGCTCATTCTTCAGTTCCTCTCGGGCTGCCCAGGGCCATTGCATCAGGAACTGGCAGGCAGTTCATTGGCTGGTTGCAGGGAGAGCCAGTCTTGCTCTGGCTTTTCATCACACTTGGGAGCAAATTAGACAGGAGGCTTCCTTCGTGTGGGAAGTGTTCAGCCGCCCCTCTTTAAATTGCACCACTCCCTCAAGCCCCGAGTGGCACAGGCCCTCATGGGGAAAGGCGGCTTCTGCTTCAGTCGGATGCAGTTTGAGTCCGAGGCACGTCTTGCCACCGGGTTGCGTACACATGAGTCCAACTTTGTTTCCTTAATGTATTCTGCTCGCAGAATGGGAGCCTTGTTGCAGAACCCTCAGGGCACCGGCGTCCAGTAGGAAAGTCGGCACCTGTCCCTCTGCGTTGGGTTGATTGTCATGTCTGAAATGCGTTACATCATCTCGAAAAAATTCCTACAGTTCTCTCTCTCTTTCTCTGTCTCCCTTTTTTTGTAGCCTGATTCAGATTCCACCAAACACTCTACACCTTCCAACAGCTCCAACCCAAGTGGGCCCCCGAGTCCCAACTCTCCGCATAGGAATCAGCTGACGTTAGACGGATTGGACCAATCGACTTGTGATGCATAACTCTACAGCTGTGCCAACCCCCCCCCCCCCCGTTTTTCCACTTGGGACCATCCACTACTCCACGGAGTATTCGAGAACACGACAACTGTCTCCAACAGCAGTGCCAAGACTGATAACTGGATTTCTTAATGTTGCACCAAAAAAACCAAACTACATATAAGTAAATTCCGTGTCCAGATTGTTGGGGGTGGGGGAAGAGAATACCGAGGAGGAGAGAATTCTTTATTACTGGGGTGGGGGGGGTGTTGTTTTTAAATGCAAGACTGTTTGTTCTTAAACCTATGGTGTGATTCTGTTTCTGCACAGCTGTGATACGCTCTCACGGCAGACACTAGAAGCTACCCAGGAGCAGTCTTCATTCTGAAGCTGAAAAAGAGAGAGAGAGAGAGAGAAGAATTGCTGGTAGTTCTTACTACTAAGCTATGTCAGGAATATTATTTTTCTATAGGATGATGTAATGTCTCGTTAGCAGGAAATCCCTTTAGGGGGGGAAAAAACGGGCTCTCCTGGACGGGGAAGTTAAAAACAGGGCTTAGTTTACATTGTTGGCAAAATATATTCTTCCCCCTTTTTCCTGTGTCTCTTCCCCCCCACCCCGAAGGTTTAGGAAAAGGGTAGGAAGCTGTAGAGCTATTCCCAGCATTATTAGGATATGCCGGGAAGCCGGATGGAAACTGAGGTTCTAGTTCGTGGCCTTTCCACTTATTTAGCCATTACAAGACATTCTCAGCTTTGTAAATGTCTTTTTCCTCCTCACTTGGAGTCGTTGTACATAAATTCTCTTACCGGTAACATTTTATTCTTACCCTGCTTCCTTTCTTTTCTTTTTTTAGACCTTCTCAGCTATTGTCAGTCAGGGCAGGGCTTTTAAAACACAAGTAAAATACTGCTGTGAAAGAGGGGGTTTTTTTCTTCTTTTTTTACTCTGCTGTTCCTGCTACCATCTTCTCTGACAACCTCATAATTCATCTTGGGAGTTTTTGGGTTTTTTGTTATGTGTGTGCGTGTGTGTGTGTTTCCAGTGTAAAAGATACACTACATTTTTTTAAAAAAATAAATAAATTAGCTAGCTAGTGTTCTCTTGGGATTGGTTCCCTATAAAAGCTGCTTGTATCGAAGGGATTGTGTAGTACTTACCACCATCCGTCTATTTTATTGGTAACCAAAGTGGAAACATTTGAAGGATGTGTATATGAGGGTGCCTCTTCTCCCCCACTCCATCCCCACCCCACCCTTCCCCGCCACCTCCAGGTCATTGCATGAAAACCCCCCCCCATGATTGCTAATCAGAAGTATTGATCATGTAAGGAGAGAAACAATGCACCGCGCACTCCTGTATATTTTGCTATGGCCCCACGTGCAGCAGTGACATTGCCTACTTGCGTGTGTATTTAATCTCATGCTTCCCGTGTATGATACATTTAGTCCCTCTTCCCTGCCTCCCCTTCCCTTTTCCAAAGATTTTTTTTGGGTAATCATGTTTCATTTAACAGGCGTGTAATTAATTCCGTGGCTGGCATATCCAGTTTGTCATAGTCACATTAGTGTGCCTTCTGTGCCAATTTGATGACAGTCACTTGTTTTTTTAAAAAAAACAACAACCTGGTTTCTATGGGCTAAAGCTATCCCGACACGGCTAATACTCTCCCCCCCCCCGAAACACTGTATTGGACCAGGCACTTAATCTCTCTAGTTTTAAGCCGAGTGGGTTCTCCAGTCAGCATTTAATCTCGTCGCATTAAGTGTTTGACGATATTTGCTCTTTCCTCAGATTTCTCAGAGGCTCGCTTCGAGCCAGACACTACTGCAGGGTGGGAGGGGGCGGGTTTCTGGTTTTTACTCTCTTTTTTTTAAATGTAAGTCTAAAGTCTTTGTAATTATTGAATTGTGAGAACATTTTTGAACAATTTACCTGTCAATAAAGCAGAAGAGGGAGGTTTTAAAAGTTCCCGGTTGTCCTGTCTTTTGCTGGTGCCTGGGCGGAGGGGGCGTGTCTGTCAAGGGCCCCAGGTTCCTGAGGAGCAATTTTTATTTTTTTAATTTATTTAATTGATTTGTACCCTGCCTTCCTCCCCAACGGGGGCCCAAAGCGGCTTACGCTGTTCTCCTCTCTTCCGCTTTATCCTCACAACAAGCGAGCCTTCCTCGGCAGGGAGGGCGGGGTATTAATCAAATGAATAAATAAATAAACAAACCCCCATGAGGTAGGTTGTTTGAATCTCTCCGGAGGGAAAAGGTGCTCAGAGAAAAAGGACCCCGAGCAGTCCTGTCACTCTCGAGTTATGCTTTCATACAGCCGAATCTCCTCCGAGCGGAGCTACCCAGAATTCCCACTCCACACTTGCAGTTTCCACACCACTCTTATTTCCCATAGTGGGGAAGGACCGTGGCCCAACGATAGAGCGTTTTTATTTGTATTTATTTATGTTATTTATAGTCTGCCTTTCTCAACTGGGGACTCAACACGAATTACACAGAGCAAGGCAGTACAGCCAACAGGATGGGGCATTCAGGAAACAAGGCAACAGGATTTGGACTGTAGGAATCAGGAACCAGCTAGAAATCTGAAAACAGAACTGTAACAAAGCATAAGTATTAACATAATGCGAAACAATGCAAAAATTATACAGTAGGATCCTGCTTACTAGCAGCGTGGACCTGGATGGCTCAGGCTAGTCTGATACTGGAAGCTAAGCAGGGTCGGCCCTGGCTAGTATTTGTATGGGAAACCTCCAAGGACTACCAGGGTTGTGACATGGAGGCAGGCAATGGCAACCCACCTCTGAACGTCTCTTTCCTTGAAAACCCCGCCATAGGTCGCTGTTAGCTGTTTCTCAACAGTACTTTCCACCACCACTTACAGCAACCGTGTAGTCCAAGCTATACACAGTAGTATTGACCACAGTCCCTATCATTTACCCAAGAATTTGGTCACCATTTTGTACAGTGCAACCCTGTCGCCTCCCCAGAAAATCGCTCCTGAGTAATTCAATTTGGCGTAGTTTGAGGAAAGCCAGGAGAGTGGGGGCTTTCTTGACTTCCTCGGGCCAGGTGGGGGCCACAACCAAGAAGGCACGTGTACGGGTGATTTTGCCCATTTGCAGAAGGCCCTGCTCAGATGAGCAAAGCTGTGGAAACGGAGTCTTGGGTCCCATGGTCATGAAGGGCCAAGGCCACTTAGAAAGTCCATATGCCACGTCTCTAGACCTATTTGAGGCAGCTCACAGTTAACAGGGAAAAACCTTTTAAAACTGGTACCAATAAGAACATATAAAAACAAGGATCATAGAGTTGGAAGGGCTCTCCAGGGTCATCTAGTCCAACCCCCTGCACGATGCAGGAAGTTCACAAATACCTCCCCCCCACACACCCCAAGTGACCCCTGCTCCATACCCAGAAGATGACAAAAGCTTCTGAAAGGGCCCACTGATTCCACTTGCAGGTCTAATGGATATGAAATTCTTTATACCTGTATGAATTTTTATTGTTAGTGTTTTAATTGTTTTTAATGTGATTTTATTGTAACGGGTCTTGGTCTTTGGCTTTTGTGATCCACCCTGAGCCTGCTTTGGGGAGGGTGGAATAAAAATCTCAAAAATAAATAATGAAAGATCCATAAAATTAATGCCAATAAAAATAGTCCCTAAAAGCAAGCCTGAGTATAAAAGTGGCTAAAACAGAGCCGTTTAAAATGATGTTGCCAACAGTCCATGGGGCTAGGAGAATCTTCTTTGCTGCTTTTCTGCGATCTAAACAGGAAAGGATCTGGTTAGGCCTGGACTTTATTTTGATGTAGGAGCCAGGCATGGGTGGTAGGAAATCCCAGGCTAGTCTGATCTCAAAAGCTACGGAGTGTCATCCCTGCTGAGCAATTTGGATGGGAGACCCACCAAGGAAGTCCAGGGTCACTATGCAGAGGCAGGCAATGGCAAACCCTCTCTGACCGTCTCTTGCCTTGAAAACCCTACAGGGTCACTATAAGTTGGCTGCAATTTGATGGATAAAGGAGCCAGACTTTCAGCCTTGAAAGTTTTTTATTTTAGTGATTACATTTTCCAATTACTGCTCCCACAAAAACTTACTCTAATCTTTTTTTCATAGTTTCTTATAGTATTGTTAACTAGGAATAAGGCTCGTTGTGGAAATAAATACAACGGACTTTAGAAAGAGGCTCAGGGAGAGTGCCCCAGCCTTGGGCACTCAGCGTCAATTTGCTGTGGTGACCTCAGTAGGGTATAATGACACCATTTTCTCCAGGGGAACTGATCTCTGCCATCGGTTTTTTTTAAGAGCATTTTTAATTCTGCGTGATCTCCATCCCTCCCCTGGAGATTGGCAACAATGGTTCCCCATGAGGGAATGACTGGTTTGGAGGGTGGAGTCTATGGCATGTACGTGTCTGAGGTCCCACCCCTCCTCAAACCTCACCCTCTCCAGGCTCCACTCCTCAAATCTCCAGGAATTTCCCAACCTGGAGTTGGCAACCCTATATCCCTCCCAGCCAACTGTCAACCTACCGTTATCCGCCTCCTGGCTTCAGCTCTCCATCTCCTCCCCCTCCCTCCTAGAGAGCAGTTGTAATTCTGAGTGATCTCCAGCCCCCACCTGGAGATTGGCAACAATGGTTCCCCATGAGGGAATGGCTAGCTTGGAGGGTGGAGTCTATTGCATTGTACCTGTCTGAGGTCCCACCCCTCCTCAACGCTCACGCTCTCCAGGCTCCATCCCTCAAATCTCCAGGAATTTCCCACCTAGAATTGGCAACTCTATCAGGACTGTCCCCAATTAGTTTTCTCCCAAAGGCCAAAATACATGTGGAAAGGGCCTTTTACTGAGAACCTGGTTGCCTGGCAACAGGCACTGAGGAGAAAGTACAGTTGGCAGCTCTGATTAGGGAAATACCTGGAGATTTGGGGGTGGATCCTGTGGAGGGCAGCATGGGGGGGGATGGAAGGACTCTGCAAGGGATAACACCATAGAGTTTACCCTCCAAAGCACCCATTTTCTCCAGGGGAACTGATCTC